ACAGGGACATTACAGAGCCCCAGGAGTCTCATGCAAACACGAGCATGTTTTCTGCCTCCTGGAGAGAAGGCAGGCATAAAGACATTCATTCAGTTCAACCCTGGGGAGCAGATGGGCACATTGTGGCAATAGCAAAGAAGCATTCTGTCAATGGCTTTCTTCCAAATTGACCTTTCAGCTTCCTAATCTAGTTTACAATCCAAATTATCTCCCAGTGATCAGATGTCCCAAATACTAACCACATCTATAGCTTCTTCAAGAGTATTCACCTGTGCTGCCACCTGCTGGGGCCAAAACAGATATCTTCCATTTAAGTTCAAGCTACTTCTTTACTATTGGAACTGTCAAAGAGAAAAAGCTGTTCTGTACTGCAGAGGTCCCCAACCCCTGGTCCGTGGACCAGTACCGGGCCGCGGCATGCCAGCAACGGGTCCGCACAAACAAGCAAAGCCCCACCCGGGAGATGCAGGCAGCACATAAAACCACGCACTCTCCGGTCCACGGAAAAAACCTTTCTCCATGGAACCAGTCCCTGGTGCCCAAAAAATTGGGGACCTCTGCTGTACTGCATTCAAGATGCTCACATAGCACCTATCAGGAACTCCTTAACGCAGCTGTATCTTTTCCAAAAATCTTTTAGCTACTCTCTGCAGCAGCATGAAAACCATCTGGTTTAATGCCAGCATCTTCCTTACTGTCATCAGAAATGTTTGCTCTGTATTTATTTTTTTTTAAAAAAAACTGGTTTTAAGGACACAGGTGTCTGGGCTTGTAATGCGAAGGTTCAGAACACATGTTATCTGCATTTTGGTACTGGTATAAGGAAACAATAATTAAAATTTTAGTTAACAATAAACCTAAGAAACCATTTACTTCTCTGCCAAGGAACCACTCAGAATTTTTCAGCTATACTTTCCTATGATAAATTTTACAATTCAAGAAAAAAGCCAGTAAGCAATTCTAAGGAAATAGTTAATATCTGGAAAATGATTAAACATAATAATTATGTTTTAATAAACAATCAAAAGAACTTTATTTACATAAATTAAAAACAATTGGCTACAAATACAGATTATATGTGTATGTATTATAAAACGTAAGTATCTGAAGGTTGTTTAAAGCTTTATTAAGCCAACATTTGTTCTGAAAACAAAGTATCAAAAGTGCACTTTCCTCTCTTAAACACATGTAACATTTATTGTTCAGCTGTATAATTTCAAGCAAGAGAATTCATGAAAAAGCAGAGAACTGCAATCATAACTCCATGCTTATATAAAGCTTGTTTAACCTCATTAATTGATTTTACAAAAGTTCTATAATAAGAATGGGTATGGCTTTTCAACTCCAATGTTGATCTTTATTACATATTTTACATGACAGAACATGAGGAAGCTCAGTAAGTAGTACCTAGCTTACATAGCCAGCACCGAAACAACTGTGGAAAGATCATTAACCAAAAAAAATTACACCTTTTTCATTGAACCTGAGACTCAGACTATGGTTCATGCTGTACTTTGTAAACATGTTACTCCATTTTTACTGATGATTGCATAGGTACCTCATGTTAACGAATAACTGAAGGTTACATATATTTAATAAATCCAATTAGTTCAGAATTACTAAAATTCTTAAATAAATCAGATTACTACAAGCCATCCATCACTTCATTACAAATATCTAACTGATCGCTTTTATGTTCAAAATCTGTTTCTTATATATTCTTATTTCTTACAGGCTTGAAATGGTTATTGGCTACTATTTATGGGAAAGAGCAGCTCTTTAGGCAATTTAGTTTGTATAACTGCCCACATTAAAGACAAGAATATTGCTAATCACAAAATGTTCATATGAGTTCAAGTAGAGGATGTACATTCACAGTTCTTATTACCATTAAGATTCTTCTGAATGCAATTAAAATGAAAATTTAGGCTACCAAAGAAAATTCATGTATACATAATATTCATGTACATAGTCTGAGATTTGACTTGTAGATTTTATAAATCCTGTCCATTTGGGAGTTCAGCATTTTTACTTGGGTTCTATTAACATAAAAGAATTTTTCTCACTAAATAACAAGATTTTTCCATCAAGTGAATGAGTTTTATTAATTTAATTCTAATAAGATGACCCTTGTAACAGTGCCTTACATTCTTTATCAGTTTCTACCCAATTACATCAATATTTTTATAACTGGCCTTCAATTAAGCAAAAAATAAGTTCTCTTTACTACTGTACAGGGTTTTTTTTTACATAGGTTTCAGTAGGTGGGAGTCTGTGATTCCCAAATAAACTGAGCTATAATACTCCTTAAAGCAAAATTAAGTTTACATAATATAAACAAAACACAAAGCAGCCAAGTGAGAAAAATCCCTATGAATAATCACATTTAAGTAATATATATATTTAATCTACATCTAGTTCAACCCAAGTTTATACGCAAAAGCTCAAGTTAGGTTACCAAATGCAGCCATATATTCATATATATATTGGATGATATTGTTTGTGATTGAGTTTTTTCCTACAAGTAGGACAAGAGTTAACCCTTTTAAGACAATTTTGGAGGCACTGACTACAAAAGATGTGGCCACATTTTGTTGACATTATAAGTCGTCCACTGTGGATAATTTCTGCGTAGCCATCCATGCAAATTGGACATCTAACAGTGCCTGAAGATTTTGGGCGTCCAAATCTTTCCTTTTCTAATTCTCTAGGTAATTTACAGGCAGCCAATTCATCACTTTCACTACATTCATTATCATTACATACTATACAGCTGTTGAACAGCGATCGGCTTAATTCTTGGTTTTGCTGTTGTCTAGTCTCTTCCGCAAGTACAATGGAATCATTATATGTAAGATCAACCACTGAAGAGTCACCGGTGAGATCTATTACTTCTACACCTTCATCGAGTTTGATTGGCTCTATTTTTGATACTGCTTCTGCAGCTGAAGCTGTCATTCTACTTTGGTTAGGAATTTGCAGGGGAGTCCTCTCTCCATAGCGTTCCTTCTGAATCTCTTTCTGATCCATGTCTCTGCTAACACTCAAGGGGACAAATGCATCCAGAAAACTGGGCCCAGCTTTAGGAGAAGAGCCAATAGCGGCAACTTCTACAGTGGCTATGGGAGAAAAGGATGGCAAGGAGAAGCTCTTGATTTTAGAAGCAGCTCCTGTAACCACTTTGCCAGGGTCATTAGAAGGTGTTGCTGGGTGGAGGGGACTCTGTTGTTTGCTTTTTCTGCTCTTGGTTCCGTCAAGCTTCATACTGGCTGACTTCATGGTTTGCAGCAAGAGGACTGACACAAGTTGCACAGAATATGTTTTCTCCCTTATCTCCAAATGCAGGTTAATGCTTAGCTGCCACTCAGTTCTGCAATGCCGATTATGAATATTCTGGGCTATCTTTATACAATGGGAGGATTTTTAAGAGTACTACAACCATTAAAGTGATATCGTTAATGCCATGCACTGCAAAGCTGGGAGCAAGTTCAAACTCCTGTGTTGAAATGTTACTCTTTAGAACTGCATCAAAGTAGGGGAAAAAAACATGATTAGGCTCAGAAGCCAGCACGTACAATTCATTTTCTATTTTTTTTTCAGCCAATAATCAGCTAAAACCATTATGAGGTAATGAAGAAATTCAGACAATTTACTGCAGTATACTACGCCAAAGAAAGGCTTCTGGTTGCAGATATTTTTTTATATTTTCCTCTGCTCAAACAACTGAGCAAACCAGTTGTTCAATAATCTGTAGGTATCTATTCTATCTGAATTGAAAAACTAGTTACCAATTTTGAGTGCAATCTAGGAACATTGAACCATTAATTTAAAGTGTTGTCATTTTCTAGCTTATTCCAAAGTTGGCAGTCATACCTTAAGGTTGGACCATCTAAAACTAAGCATTTTGCAGCAAAATGATCATTTTGCTGAGATGATAATCTCAAATGACTTCCTTGACTGCTACCTTTATAAAAGAAGTCAGGAAAGAGAAAACCAGAAAATGAATACAAGAAGTGAATGCTTCTTAGGAATAAGTAGGACATAAGAATTTTGTATAGATGTTTGGACACATTTAAAATACTACCTGTTGACTTGCTTCAAGTGTCAGTATGTAAATTCAGTTCTTATAGAACTACCCATCATTGGGGTTTGTCTTATAATACTTCAAGAAAGGCAACATGGCCTGCATTAGGTAAAAAGGGGTATCATTATGGGCTTTCCCACATGCTGGAATTCTTCTTTTCTTCTGTTACAAAAGCTTGTTTTTGCCTAGTTGTAGGCTGTTTTGTACAAAGAGACTCTAAAGCAGGGGTAGTCAACCTTGGCTCTTTTATGACTCGTGGACTTCAACTCCCAGAATTCCTGAGCCAGCTGTGCTGGCTCAGGAATTCTGGGAGTTGAAGTCCACGAGTCATAAAAGAGCCAAGGTTGACTACCCCTGCTCTAAAGTGACTAACAATCATAAGTAAATAACTATCCCAGGGATGTCAAACTGCCGGCCTGGATGCGTCACACGGAAGCTGTGCCCACCGGCAAGGGGGAAAAAGTTGCGACACGTCACATGATGTGGTGAGTTTGACACCCCTGAACTATACCATTATTTGCAACAGAGAAACAGCTACTTTTCCAAAGCCCCGACAGCATAGAAGGTGTAAAAAGCTTCCCAAAATCATGTGGAAGAAAAAAAAAGAACTAGGCACCCACACAGTGCTCCAAGAGCCTCTAAAGTCCCAATAATGGAGGAAAAAGAGCCTAAAGGAAGGATTCAAGAAACTTATTCATATAATTTCAATTTAGCAGTAACCCAAAGACAATTTCAAATGAATATGATTTGAATCAATTCAACATTTTTTTCTGCCTGGATAAAATGTTAATTAACGGTATACTGTCTTTCACACAACATTGAGGCTAAAAGATTAAATTTGTTATTTAAATATAACCAAAACTAAATCAGAATCCCAAAGCAGAAAAGAAAACATTCTGCAATGTCCTGATCTTACCCTTGAACTTCTGAAGGGTTTTGTGCACTCAGACTTCGAACTGTAGACCTCAACAGAAATGCTGAAAGAGAACCAGGGACAAAAAGTCACTCAAATAGGATTAAGATGTTCCAATTCTAGAATGAGTAAGAATAGCTTTACAATTTTTAAGGAAGAGTAAAAATTCTACTGGAATCATTCTACTCCTCAAGACACTTTACAATTCATACAAAAAGATCTTTTTAGGGTCAGAGAGGCAAGAGTTTAACTAAAAGTAAAGAATTTCTCACTTAATTAGGCAGACTTAATCAGTTAAACCTCTGGCCTATGAGAATTATAGAGCTTCAGTTATAAAGGCAGGCCTAATGAGGTACTAGGTAGACAACCAGCATAGTTGTCAATAAGGAGGCATACTGGAGCATAGCCAAATATTATGAAAATATGCTGCATCAGATCTTAAATCCTAAAATATGTGCTCATTCTTCAGTATGAATTAGATTTCTACAAACTTATTGGATAGATTGAGTAGCAATATTCCATATGGTCAAGATTAAGTTTATGCCTTTTTAAATGCAATTTCCCTTTTCTTTCATAATTGCTTTTATGTACAAAATAAAAAAAGAACCAAAGTAAAAAAAATGGGAAGGATACTATAAGATGCTATAAACAGGAAATGGAGAATTAAGTGGGTAATCTCCAACATAAACAGGAAGAAGTGGTAATACAGTGAAGGAGAACTTGAAGGTCTCTAGACTTTTCAGGTATAGCATACAGTCATTGTGTAAATTTGTGTAACATTAAAGGACAAAACAAACCAAATACACAAATTTCAGCATGTGGCGTGCACCCAGCTATTAGGCCTTTAACTGCTTTAGCTGGGAATGCTATTTGAAGCCAGGTGAAAAGACTGTAACAAGACTTTCCTCTTTCTGGCAAAGATCTTTTAAAACTATTTTTGGCTCTTTTAGAAACAATTACATAACACACATAATAGAATCTTGGAATAAAAATTACCTATTTATAAATAAATGAACAATAGCAGTTATCTGCAGGAAAATGTCAGCAAAAATGGCTGACTAAAGACCCCAGGCTTAAGTTTGCTCCAACTGAACCAATACTTTTCTGATAGACAAAACCTGCACATATACTAATTGAAACAGCTCTTTCAAAGCATGTAATGACAAATACTTTACTTTCTTGGAATGCTTATTAGTATGTATGTGTGTGTTGTTCCAATATTAGAGTTTGAAAGAGTAAGAAGGGAATAGTAGGATCTCAATTTTGACTGCCATTGGAGTAGTCAGCTATTACTCCATGTTATTAAATGTGGGGTGCTGCTTAATACTATTCACACCTAAGTAAATATAGCCTTGAGTGAATTTATACTTAAGAGTAAAATAACTAATTTACCAAACTTGTCACTTTAACTATCAGACTTTTTAAAATGCATGTAACAAGAATCTAGCAGAAAATTCAGTTGGAATAGAGATTAAAATTATTTTTATCATACACTTACATCCTAAAAAATAAAACAATTTGGCAATGCTAAAAAAACCCAGTTACGAAGCAGTTTAGTTATAAACTACCAAAGCACCCAAAACAAATGAAAAAAAGTTGAATATTTAAAGTATTTTACACTACCTATTAAATTAATAAAATTAAGACTGAAAACAGTAAAAGGCACTATTAGCAATATCAGTCTTACCATTATTATGTTAGTTTGGTTTGAGTCAGACTTTAATTTTCAAACAATGAATAGCTTCAAAGTTTTTGGACTTTTTTGTAACCATAATATAAATACATGAAACATGCAAACATAATACAGAGGATACTGTACTGAGGATACTCAGGCCACACTGAAATTTAGGGGGGAAAATGCAAGAAACATTTGAACTTTGGTGGTTCAAAGCCTGACTAAACATGCTTTGCTTCTTAAAGGCCGAGGTCCCTATAATACAGGGATTACCTGTATTATGAGGAACTCATATATACAACTTCCTAGCAGTGAAGATGCAATAAGGCAAAACAACAAAACAAAGTAGTCCTCGATGGAGCCCAACATTTGTTGTTAAACAAGACATTTGTTAAGTGAGTTTTGCTTCATTTTACAACTTTGTCACAGTTAAGTGAATCACCGCAGCTGATAAGTTGGTAACCCAGTTGTTAAGTGAATCTGGTTTCTCCATTGACTGCTTGTCAGGAGATCACAAAATATAATCACATGACTTTGGGACACAGCAACGGTCATAAACCAGTTGCCAAACATCTTAATTTGGATCACATGATTATGCAAAGTTCATAACTGTGAAAAACTGTCATAAGTCACTTTTTTTCAGCGCCACTGTAACTTTGAACGGTCACTAAATAAACTGTTTGTAAGTCGAGGTCTACCTGTATATTATCCATGACTTGAAGCACCCTTCCTCACCTAGTACTCACCACATGCTCCGGGTTACAAATCGGAGCATTCTCAATGATTCGACCGGGGTGAAGTCCAACGTAATTGGGGAAAGTATGGGGTCGGGGGAAAGAGAACGATGTCTGAATTAAAATGCCAGAATAAACAAGGGCTCAATGCAGGAGAAGGGAAGGATTTTCATTCAAAACCAGCAGAGAACACAGACGATAATCACGATGCAGGTAGAAAGTACAGAATAAAACAGCCGAGCCACCTTAACAGAAAAATACCAGAAGGTAACCAACCTGAATGAGAGCTTAACTGAGGAAAATCACCCCCTCACCTGCTCGAGAAAGAAGCCGCCCGTAACCAAAGGCAGACGCCACTATTGCCATTACAAGCCGGCCAGGTTTCCTCCCGCTTGCGCGCCCAACGGAACCGGAAGTTCAGCCCTGGAACAGCTGGCTCGCCGTTTATAGGGGCCGTCGGGCAATGAGAGCCAGGTTTTAAAGGGCCGTGGTCGGTACATCGTTGCCTGCTGTCCTCCCCAGAACGGGGCTTCTCGAGGCGTCCGCTCAAGCCGGCAGCAATGGCGGCGTTGGTGGAAGAGTTTGTGTCCCGGCAAATGGAGTTGCTAAAGGAGGAAAGAGAGGCCGAAATTTCGGAAGCAAGGTATCCTTCGGCTAGGCGGGGCAGCTGGTTTCTCAGCATTCCCCGTGGCAAAAATATGAATGTATTAATTTAAGCAATGGCTTAAATTATATATTTTGACCTTTGTAAACAAGCTCATTCAAATATCTGCTTCCTAAGTCTAAAATGCTGCTAGCCAGTATTGGTTAACAACCTGGCTTAAAGACATTCATTAGGGCAAGAATAGGTAACGACAGCAGGTTGACCTAGCTTTGCTAGAGTATCTGTATAATAATCTGCCTTATAATTGAAGACTTGAAACCGTTAAGCAAATCTGCCATTGGAGAATTGAGTCTATTAGAAATATTTGTGTAAATACAGTGTTTGTATATTTAATAGTAGATAAACACCATAGTAAATGTAGCTACTTATATGAGGACTTTAAATTCTATAAACCTGTGTGATATTTACTTCAAAATAACTATAGGGTATTGCTGGTCAGTTGACCAGAATGACAGAGCAAAAATAGTGATAAACTATAAAAAATATCAGCCATAATGACTGATTTACAAAGTATGCTAATCCAGACAATTGTAGCATGGATTTTTGTGATGTGTGAATCCAGTATCTTTCTAGCTCTATAGATAGCAGAGTTGAAAGCACTTATGAATAAACTAATAATTTAAAAGTACTCATTAAGACATAAAATCCAGATAGTTGAAGAACTTAAATATAGTTTTGGTGTCACATATGATCTGCTTGGAAGTTGCTGATTAATGTATTCCCTAATCATAATAGTTGCAAGTAATTAGAATAACATTAGTTAAGAGGTAAGAGGAAAAGTCCTGTACCTATAATAATGCATTGAATACAGTGTCACTTTCTTTTGACTGGATATGTTTTTTTTTTTCTAAGAGCCCAGAGAATAAATAAAACAGGCTTCACCTCACTTTTTGATTTCAACTTTTTATGTTCTTCATCCATCACATTACTGAAATTAGGCAATGTTCAAGGTCACTGATTTCTGTCTTGTAGCAACATTGCTAGGAAGCAATAAAGCAGGTATTATCAGCATACTAATGAATTCTATTCCGAAGTTCTGAAGGACTTCCAGCATTTTCATGTATGTGTTTAACAGCATAGAGGAAAGGTAGAATGCTATGGGTTTCTAGGTCAACAATTTATGTATCAAATAGTAGTCTCCCAACACTACTTATCTGGACACATCCTGAGAGGAAGGGTCAGGATCACTGCAACGCCTACCCAGGTAGCCAAGAAGGTTATTACAGTCAGGGGTATTAAAAGTTACTGAGAGGTCCAGAAAAACTGGAATAATTGTACTTGCCCCCATCTACCTTCCAGCATAAATTATCCACCAAAATGATCAAAGCAATCTCAACACCTGGACAAAATCCTATTTAAATTGACCCAGGTAATCTTTAAGGGGTTGTACTTGAGACAATACTTAATTTGTTGCTTAGTGTAGGCCCTGAAGTGAACTTTTAGAAAGCAAATGGCTCTGAGATATGATTAAGATTTCTTCCCATCCTCAGCATGATAATATCTCAATGCTTATAGCTAGTAATTGAGTATTTTTTTCTAGTTATACCAGTATATTTGATCCACACTTTGTAAAAATCTGTAGTCTGTTTAATTATGAATAAATTACTGCTGTTTGGGTTTGCACAATATGGTAACAAGAATCAATAGATTGTGATAGAATATAACTTCAATAAATAAATGAAATGTTAAGATAACATTGGGTAGAGGGGGTGACTTTGAGCAATTGCCATTGCATTATCAGACAATAAGATATAAGAATGCAGGAATATCTAGCAATTGATTTCTGGAAAAATGCAATAAGTACATGTTTTATAGCCAAATTAAATATATACATATACATTAAAAACTGTTGAAGACTAAAAATTATCTGTTCCTTAAATCTGTGGCCTTTTTTGAACTATTGTTCATTTTCTGATATTAAGAAATATGTAATTTGTTCCTAGTGTGAAATATTCAGCTGAAAAACAAAAATGGGGGAATATGTGACAAATTGGCAACTCTTTTGACAGGCTGCTTAGATGGGCAGTGGGAATGCATAATGCCAGGTCCTTCAGCCATTCAGGCTCCACAAAAGCCTTGAGTGGAATCTCTGGAGACCTCCATGTATTACCAAATTATAGTTCATAATTTGACAGAAAGGGAAATTAAATTTATGGCTAGAGAGCAATCCTATTAGCTATGTTACTTTACATTAAGAGGAAATGAAAACAAAATCCTATCCACATCTATTATTTTGGGGAGGGTAGCTGCAAGCATGCCATTCAAAACATATATATGGTTTTTCCCCACCCCAAAATCTGATACATCCCTGCTAAACATAGGTATAAGAGTTAGAAACTGGTTTGATTTGGTCCATGATTCCTTCAAAGTTTAGCATCTGCAAGATATTATGGCACAAGAAAACAAGCAGTCTTGAAATTGCCAAATGCTAAATGGGCCATCAAAAATGCACAAATATGAATATTGTGGAGATATTGCAAGATTTTATCTAATTTGATGTCCTTCAAATGGAAATTATGAGTGTTCTAGTTCAACATATTTGGAGGTTTGAGAAGACTTGTTACAATGCTGCAAGTCACCCAGAATTGTTTAAGACGAGTGCCTATATACATCTTTAAAATAAATAACATTATTATGTATATGGAGATGTTTTTTGTTGTCCACCAATGTTCTGTCTGGATGGAGGCAAAGAGGGCAAAAAATATGATTTAGCTCCTCAGGTGGCATCTAATTAACAAAGGCATGGTTTTTCTCTTTGCATGATCTTTTTTCAGAGCATGGCAAGAAGGAATCTCCCTGAAAGAGCTGCAACGTAGAGGAGTTTGCTTACTGAAACTCGAACTACATTGTCAAAAAACTGGGCTATATGGCCATCTGCTTGTAACTTTCAAAAAGTCTCAAAAACATGGCTCAGACACAGAGTTACCTTCCAATAGTTTTGGGCCTGGTAAGTAAACAGTGTTAATTTTGAAAGTTTATTGTAAAACGCTTTACAGTAGCTTTAGATATTGGAAGATAGACCTTCATGATGTGATAGGTTATTTCTGAATCTGTAATGATCTCAAAGTCTTCGAATTACAGCTGTCACATCAAACAATGATAAAACTAGACTTTTTTTTATTCACACATGGAGTTATTAGCAGCATACATTTTGCATTATTTTAAATATATAATCACCCAAGTAAAGCAGTTTATTATCACAAATATAATATGTCTGATGGACAGAGATAAGGACTTTGCAGTATTCAAGTCAGTTTTGATAATTTACAGTAGAAGAAGGACAAGAAGCAATGGATGGAAACTAATCAAGGAGAGAAGCAACCTAGAACTAAGGAGAAACTTCCTGACAGTTAGAACAATTAACCAGTGGAACAACCTGCCTCCAGAAGCGGTGAATGCGCCAACACTGGAAGTTTTTAACAAGAGACTGGACAGCCATTTGTCCGAAATAGTATAGGGTTTTCTGCCTGAGCAGGGGGTTGGACTAGATGACCTCCAAGGTCCCTTCCAACTTTATTATTATTATTATTATTATTATTATTATTATTATTATTGTTGTTGTTGTTGTTGTTGTTGTTGTTGTTTTGTTGTTGTTGTTATTGTTGTTATTATATTATTATTATTATTATTATTATTATTATTATTATTATTATTATTATTATATCTTTTTCCTGCAACATTCACATAATTAAAATTAAAATTTGGGGGTGGGAAGCTTTACTGCAACATGCCAACTTTTATCTTGATTGTAATATTTGTTTCATTGTTGTAAACCACCCAGAGCTGTTGTGGGTTGAGTGGTAAAGGAGTTTAATAAATCCTTACTATTACAAAAGGTAAAGTACATGAAAACTCAATTCTGGGAAAAGAGGAAGCAGGAGAAAGAAATTCAAAATAACCAGGCCTTGATTCTGTATGGTAAAAAAAAAAAGAGGAAGAATGCCACCTCTGGCTAGCTTTCAAGATTCTGCTATTTTGCCATACAACAATAGAGTCCCAGTAGTCCTTGTTGTGTTTGCTTCCTGACCTGCCCTTTTCTGGAGTGCTGACAAACCTGATTGTTTCATATTGAACTTGTCAGATTGTTGTCTTTTGTCACGATGACTTTTGTGAATACAAAGACAGAGTAAATTGGAGATTCTCTCAAGGTTGTCAATGGCAGTAGTAAAGTTTCTGATTTCATTTAATCTGAGATATACCGTGTTTCCCCGAAGGTAAGACCTACCCCGAAAATCAGCCCTAGCTTGATTTTTGGGAGTGGGCCTAATATCAGCCCTACCCTGAAAATAAGCCCTAGTTTTGGGGTGAGGTGCATGCCTAAAAATCAAGCTAGGGCAGGCGTATGGGGGAGGTGGAGCTGCCCCAGGCACCCCGCAACTGCTTACCTTACCAGTAGGACTGCAATAAGCAGGCGTCCTACGCCCTGACACTTGTTGCGCTGCATGGCTCGTTGCACTGTTGCCGCTCCTCGCGGCAGGAGACTGCATGGTGCTCGTCACACCGTTGCCACCGAAGCGCCATGCAACCTCCTGCAAATAGCCCGAAGCACCGCACAGTGCCTTGACCCGATTGGCGGCAACGGCCCAAAGCGCCATGTGGCGTCCTGCCACGACCAGCAGCAATGGCCTGAAGCACCATGCAGTCTCCTGCAAACGGCCCGAAGCACCGCGCGGCGTCCTGCTGCGACCAGTAGCACAGATGTGAAGCACCATGCGGCGTCCTTCCACAACCGGTGGCACCGGCACAGTGCTCCACATGGCATCTGGCTGCAAGTGCTGGCAAGTGGCCGTTGAAGAAGTCAAGCAGCGGCGTGACAAATGTTGGGGCATGCGAGGCCTGGCTGCAGCGGTCCTAAGGTAAGACATCCTCCGAAAATAAGACCTAGTGCCTCTTTTTGAGGCAAAAATAAATAAATATAAGACCGGGTCTTATTTTTGGGGAAACACAGTTCTCACCCTCCCATTAATCTGGTAGTATTGCCATCTCAAAAGTTAGATGCTCTTCCGTGAGGCCAACTAAGATATGTGTCTCAGCCAATAGCTCATGAATGAATACAGTGTGATTATCCCTGAATATATGTGCTTCTGCTCACTCCATATCCACTTTATTTCTTAGGAGGGAATCTTGCAATGAGCAATCAGTTTAAAATCTATTTGCAAATACTACAAATGTAATCTTATAGAGGCCTGGATTTCTCAGCAGGCATTTCAAGCTCAGCTACAAAGACTTTTTAAGGTTTTTTTTTATATTGCTATAACTCATAATTCCAAGTGGGAGCATTTTAGACAATGTTGGCTGATTTCAGAACCATCCTGGTTAGTATTTACATAGAAGACTAACAAAACATTCCTAGATAGAAGGGACATTGAAGAAGGCAACAGCGAATCATTGTCATGAAAACAATATAGATATATCCATCTGTAGTCCCTTAATAAATTAGCAATTTGTAGAAAACCAGGCACTGATTCTCAAGTACTTCTTTCCTTTAATGAATTCTTTCCATTGTTTTCCATTTTATTTGTAACATTCTGATATTTGTTTTTTTTTTTAAAGTAAAATCTTCCAAGGTTTTTTGGAAGTTTTTTTAAAATGAAAACTATGTTGAGGAAGACCTCCAGAATGCTGGTTAATTTAGATAACTAGGGTTTTTTTTGCCAGGAAACCAAAAAAGTATGATTGTTTCCGAGTAAATTACAAAAATACAGTAGCAGTCTATGCTGACTAATGTAGGTGAGACTTTCTTTAGCTTACACTACTGTACTTTGTATTAGTCCAGTGGTTCTCAACCTTTTTAATGCCGCGACCCCCAACCGGTCGTAAGTCGAGGACTAAACCGGTCGTAAGTTGAGGACTAAACTGGTTGTAAGTCGAGGACTACCCAACTGGTCGTAAGTCGAGGACTTTCCCTGCCCGGGAGCGCCGCGCATGCATGGTTCCGCCCCCTGCGCCGGCCGAGGCGTAGCTGGCAAGCGGCAGAGACGGAGCAGGCCGACCACCAGCTGGCCCAGCCCAAGGGAGGTAAGGCACCCGCCGGAAAAGGGGGAAAAAATGGCGGACAGCCTTGCTTGGCGACCCCCGTGAAATGGTCAATCGACCCCAAATGGGGTCGCAACCCATAGGTTGAGAACCGCTATATTAGTCTGAGAAAATAAATGAGCTATGGGTCTTACCTTCTAACCTAGGTTTTTATTTTGTATGGGCAGCTGTTCTTGTTAGAAACTCAATATTTCATTATGAAACAATGTACGATGTTAATAGAGGCTCATTCCTAGAATCTGATTTTCACATATTTGTAAAGTAATTTTGTCATAGTTCTGCATCCACTCACTTAAGAAAAAGGTTTATAAATTCAATAAGATTAATTTCTGAGTAAATATTTGAATCATACCCTTTCTCTGACTTGTTTTTAAAAAAGAGCCTTTATCTTCCTTCTTGCTTGGCTGGTCTCACATCATCTTAAGGCATGGTTTGTATTAACTGCCTAGTTCAAACATAATTTTAATAACATTTTAAGCCAGAAATCATGGTTTACCAACCACAGTGACTGGTTCAGAAGCTAAAACCCAAACATTATAAGTTTTATTGCATTTTATGAATCAAATGACTGTAGCCTAAAAAGTGCCATTCTCCAAGAGCTTTATTAAACGTTTTTCCATTATGTAGCAGTCACTAAGAATGCTACTTAGTATGTACACCGTACTGCATTAATGGTCCCTCTCTCTCTCTCTCTCTCTCTCTCTCTCTCTCTCTCTCTCTCTCTCTCTCTCTCTCTCTCTCTCTCTCTCTCTCTTTCTCTCTCTCTCTCCTCCTCTTCCTCCTCCTCCTCCTCCTCCTCCCTCCTTCCCTCCCCCCCTCTCTCTCTCACACACACATACACACACACTCCCTTGAGCGGCCTGTAAAACAATGGGTTCTAACCATATTTTTCGATTTGGATCTGTATTGAATCTCAAGGGTATTTTGTACTTTTTGTTTAAAAAGGAGATTTAAGACCCTCCTGGCATTGTTTGCCCTTGCCCTTGCCGTTGGACTACTGATTAATTCTATACTTGAATTAATGCCTCAGCATTTATACATACTGTACTGTGTTTCATAGTAGTAATCACAAGGATAATGTTTGGGGTTTTTTTTTTATTTATTTATTAAATTTATATACCGCCCTATCTCCCTTGCGGGACTCAGGGCGGTGAACAGGCGATAATAAAAACCATGGTAATAAATAGTTTGTTTTAAAATCGAATTAAATAACGGGCCTGTTCTAAAAACACACCCGTAAAAAACCCCCCACTGAAACATAATCAAGCTACGCCAGGCCGGCCGCACGGAATAGATGGGCCTTCAGGGCTCGGCAAAAAAGGCGCAGGTCCGCAACTGTACGTAGGTCGGGGGGTAGGTCATTCCAGAGGGCAGGAGCTGCCACAGAGAAGGCTCTCCCCCTGGGGGTCGCCAGCCGGCATTGTCTGGCCGACGGCACTCTAAGGAGGCCCTCTCTGTGGGAGCGGACTGGCCGAAGGGAGGTGTTTGGTAGGAGGCGGTCTTGCAAATACCTANTCAAGGGGAGCCCCATGTAGAGAGCATTGCAATAGTCCAGGCGGGAAACAACGAGGGCTTGAGTGACTGTGCGTAGGGCGTCCCGATCCAGAAAGGGGCGCAACTGGCGTATCAGGCGAGCCTGATGAAAAGCCCCCCTGGCCACGGCCGTCACATGATCGTCTAAAGACAGCCGAGCATCCAGGAGGACGCCCAGGTTACGAGCCCTCTCTGCGGGGGCTAATGACTCGCCCCCGATAGCCAGAGATGGAACCAAAAAAAATGCTATTTAGAATAGATATGGGCAGAGTTAGACAAAGATGTGCTTTGAAAAGAGCTCCAGTGCCTTGGAAAAGCACATCCGCTCAAGACAGGCTCTTTCTGAGGGGCAAATTTTCTAAGATGAAAATATATGCT